TCTTGACAAGAAAGAGAACTTTTTTTTTTCTCTCTAGCTTAGCTTGGATATGGTTTTAGAACTATTTTTTCATTTTCTTTAGAGTAACTTAAGAACTTTTGATGGACAACGTATTTTTGATGGCAATGAAGATGATGAAACTTGAAGATCTTGTTTGTTCACTTGAATAAGCATTTCTTTCTCTTTACTCTTTTTGTTGTGTCATTAATGCTTTGTAACATTGAAAACATGAACTTTGTTGTTAAATCTATTATGTCTAGCTAAATCTTCTTGTTCTAGGGATGGATGAACCTATTTGTGCCTTGATTATGGTTGAATAAAGTTGTTTATTGCTATATCTTGTACTTGCTAATTTATTTATTCTTACTTTAACACTTGTGAATACTTGATCACCATTTACAAGCCATATTAGTTTCTATTAAGCTATGAGAATAGTTGACAATGATGGAAATGGAATAGGTGGCACCTAAGGAGTAGGCACACGAAAGTAGTGGTACACTTAGGTGGATGATTTTGACATTTCTTGATCTAGATTAAGTCTTCACTTTATATTTCACCATGAAAGTAGGAAAACTATAGTGTTGGCTAAGTTCGGTTTATTGGTGAGAGCGAGTTCCGATGGCTTGAGTGAAATGCATCCTTAACATGAGAAAAGCATGAGTGATAACTGACTATTTCATCCATTGTTAGGTACATTTAGTGGATTCTATACTCTAGAACACTTGTGTTTAGTTGAGTTTCTCCAAATTGTTAATTTGCCTTGCATTATTTTAGTATTTTGGTGGCTTTTCTTAGTTAAAAATTCTTGAATAGTTTAGATAATAAAGTGAGTAAAAAACTTTAATAGTTGAGAGTGATTTTCATGGGATTCGACCCTATTTGCTCTGTACTACAATACACGATCCGTACACTTGCGGTTAACGAGGGAATTAGGTTTAAAAATTAGAGCGTAGGTATAAACCTCATTAAGTTTTTGTTAATTACCTCTATGAAATCACATAAATCACTAAAGTCGCAAAGGTGCATCTCTACTCTCGTGAGTGTACTCCCTAGGTTTAGCACTTCTTGAACTAGTGTTAAATCCCAATTTTTATTGAAGAAACAACACCTTTAGATAATCACAATTAATGGCCAGTTAATCATGATTTATAAGAGTAAAAGTGCTAAATAACTTGCCCAAAATAATAGCATCAAATAGCTAAGAAATCAATACAATACAATCATAGAAAGTTCAACCAAAACCCAAGGCAAAAACTTTAGAAACACATATTAAAGATAAAAACCAAACTTGTATATTAACTAAACAATAGAATCAAGTACAAAAGATAAAGAGTTTGGAAAGAAATGTAACCCTTGTCATTTGAGTTCATCTCCTTTTTCATCTTTGCCTAGCTAATAAATATGAAGGATAAACTAACTAACTAAACTATCCTACATTATCTTAACTAAAAAGCTAAGAAACTACATTTGGTGGTGTTTCTTGTCCCTCTCCAAAAAAAACTCTCCAAAATGAAGACACAAGCTCCTATTTATAGAGAGATCTCCAAGTTCTTCTCTTGCATCTTCAATATAAATATAACTTCAAATAAGTCAACATTTTTTGCTCCAAGTTATATCACATCATTTTGGAAGAAATGAGTCAATAATTGTTGCTAGAATATCCCTTTTTATAGCTGCAAATCTTGTACAATTTGTCTCTTAAAAGGTGAGAAAGAATGGAGGTGAAAACAAGTTGTGCAAGTTGGAGTTACAAAGTTTGACTAAAATCCCTCCAAGTTTCGGCCAGATTTCTTGGAGGAATTCGTCCCCTACTTTGCCAAAAATTCTCTACCTCGAATCTCTCCAAGCAATCCCTCCAAAAACTAGCCACATTGTTAGGAGGGATTCAAGTCAACTTCCATTTTTAACCAGTTTCTTCGTTTTCTTCTTATAGCGACTCGAACTACCTTTGAAACTCATCATCCTTGGAAACTTTAGGATTTCAATCATCATATTGTAAGCCTATTTCTTGTCCAAAATGACGTCCATTTCAACTCCTACGAAAATAACAAAAAATGTGCAAGTAAAAGGGACAAATATCTCATTTAAGCATTGGATTGGATTTAGAACCAATTCTAGCAAATATTGACCATTTTCTTCTTATAATATTGCCTAAGTGACTAAAAGTAAAATAAAATATCATCCAAATATAGCACAAAATAGTCATTTATGACTTGATAATTGCCCTATATTTTTATTGACAAGGAATTCATACATATTTAGCATCACCAGCACCCAAAAGAATAGATAAAGATAAAAGAAGAGGGAGGGGTAACTTATAGTTTTTTGGTTAACTTCTTGAAGTCTCTCCTACGTACTTGTGATTATTTAAAAGGGAAAAGAAAAAAAAATGTACTTGTGATTATGTTTTGAATGTTTTCCATCATGTAATACTTGTTATAACTAATTGCCAAGTTGTGAGCTATATGAACAACACAGAGTTAATCTGAGCTAATCTAGCCGCCATTCTGGTTAAAAAATTCACAGCATCTCCCATAACCACTCAACAAAATTCTCAAATACTTATCATAGAATTTGGTTGTAAAACCCTAATTCCAACTAGAAGGCTCACGCGAAAGAGAGCCAAAGAAAGTGCCCAAAGTTCACCAGCCTTATATTAGAAGATTAAAATACTGATTTTAGGGTCATTTTGTAAGTCCCAGAGAAATATATACACATGACGCTAATTCCACTCTTTCAGTTGACAATATACTAAGAGCCTGTTTATAATTGCAGTGGCTTATCAATAAACACTTCAATTAGTAGAGATTTTGATTAAAATACTTATTAAGTGTTTAATCATATTGTTTGGGTACACATACTTATATAAGTACTTTTTTTATTTGATAATGTGTAATTTTAAATTTTTAAAACATATTTATCTCTTCATTTAGTTCAAAATTTATAATAAAATTGTCAATTTTTTTTTATTTTTTTGAAATACAAAAGTTACTCTAAAAGCAATAATTTTGAATTTATGTTAGAAGTGCTTTAATGACCAAAAATTCTACTTCTAAATTTAAGGAATCATGCTCACCAAATACATTAAAAGTGCTTTTATTATCCAAAAATACTTTTAAGTGATTGAACTCGAATGAAACAAGTAAATATGTTATGAAAATTATGTCAGGCATTTGCAGTCACGGTGTACTTTTCTGCAAGAGGTTAGAAGTTCAAGGACTTGAAGGGAATCAAACCTCATTTATGACGTAAAACCGTCAGCAATATCTGAGGGAGAACGCAACTGATATAAAAGGTTTCTGCAGATCGAATTGAAATCTAACCATAGATAAGATGAGACCACAACTTTGGTCCAACTCCTTTTATGGTGGCAAAACACATCTATAGAATTTACCATTGATTTGTTTTCTTTTTTCATTTAAAGCTTTCATACAACCCACATTTCTTTCTTCATATCAAATCACAATACGTACATAAGTGGATCAATTTTGTACAACTTTCTTAAATTTATCTAATTTAGTTGATTGATTTACTTTGTCGAAAAAATCAAATATAATTTTGATTGGCAAGGGCGCAATCCAAAACAAAAGAACATGTATACAAGAATAAAAAGAAAGCCACCCATTAAAATCACCATAGTCATCAGTGAATCCTTTTTCTGGTGATTTAATGCAAAAGAAAAGCCCCATCTAATTGATGGAGTGGGGCCTTTATGAACCAATTCAGGGGCAATAATTTCTTAAAGTGTTATTAGTCTTGGAACAATGCTAGAAACCCTCGATTTCGTTCAAAATCCGCTTGAAAGTGCACCCAAGAAGTAGCTTGGTAACCTAGAGTTTCCTGTTTCCCTTTTGAGGTCTCTTTGTCAGGGCTGTTTCTTATGAGTTCCCAAGTCAAGGGAGTCTATTTTTGAATGAGATGCATGGAAGTAAATTTTGAGTATTTTTACCTTAAGTTGCTAATCTACAATATATACAGGGAAATCAGGAACCAATTGATAGTTAGCTTTTTAAAAATAGCAAAGTCATAACACTCTAATCGTTGATATCTAAAGATTTGGAGCTCCGTTACAAAATCAATTGGCAAATGAGAATGGTAGTTCAAGATGGTAGTTTTTGAGCTGGAAATTTTTGAAAAACCAAAGTGGTCATTTTGGCACTTATCACCCCTTAGAACCTGATTTGGTATTGACGATAGTTTTTATAATTGAAATGGGCTCCTTTTTTTTGTGTTTTTTTTTTTTTGGGGGGGGGGGGGGGGCGGCTGGGGAAGGGGGCAGGGGAAATCCAACATTTTATTACTTAACACGTTCATTTTGTGATCGAATTTTGGATCCACTTCAAAATGCTGACCCAACCTGTAAAAATCGGATAGTTCTTGCATTTCTTTAGTAGACAGCCATTGCATTTTAGTGTGCTAGTAAAATGGTAGTTACTTTTGCGAAAACACTAATTCTCAAAGAAGGCTAGAAATTTCAAATTTACATATTATAACATTTAAATTTCTATCCAAGTCCATATTACAACTTTAGATTTGTAGATTAATTTGTAATATTGATAACGTGAAGTTACTTGTATTGGTATCACTGCTGTGAGTTAGTTGTAATGTCTTAAAAAATAATAAAAATTGTAAAACTCAACATATCTTTTAAGAATCCCTGCAGGAGGTCGATGTAAAATGCCCAAGATTATTGAAGTGGGAGAAGAAACTAATAGATCTTGATGCTTTGGTCTAAACAACCAAATAGTAGAAAGATCAGACCTTCATAAAACTTGTGTAACATATATACACACAAGAGAGACAAAGAAAGATCATTCAAAAACCAAAGCACGTTATTTATTCGAATCATCTTCTTGAAAGGGAAGTAAATTACAGCCTAATTACCGCAGTAGAAAAAAACACTTGACAAGAAGAAAGTTAATTTTAGTGTGTTTGGATAGAAGATTATTTGAAATAATTTTTTGAAAATATATTATAGCACTTTTTTTTTATATGACATATGTGAAATGAAAATATGATTGAAAAAAAAATAAAAAGATAATTGAAAAATTTATTTACGATACAATCAAATAAAATTTTCCAAATAATGAGCTATCCAAAGGTCACTATTTGCAAGAATAATGAATAGCTGCAATTGGATAATTCACAATGCTGAGCCTCATTCTTTCTCTTCACTTGCTCATAGGGCAATCTGGATCATTTTAAAGCTGCAATTGCAGTTTGGATTTTTATCTTCACATCTTTTTCTTCCTCATTAGCCTGTAAAAGGTGAAAGGAAAAGAGAATATCTGATAATTAGTATTAGCAGAAATATATACATATATATATAGAGAGAGAAAAAGAGAGAGAGAAGCAGTACTGCTGATAGCAGTAGATCGAAGAATCCTAATGTCTTTTATTTTCGTATAGTAACACTGAAGAAATAAAATTTTTTTTTCCAAATGCGCACGTTTGTCTCCATATTTCAGCTGAAGATTTCACTGATACTCTTGCACATCACGCATTAAAAAGCCTGGACTACAGTTAGAAAGAAATACTTATATTATTTAACGATTTGTTCGACAATTGTTTTTATTTTTAATTTACTCTCCCATTTCTCTTCATACCATTTCTATTTTCAACTGCCAATTGCAGAATTTGAACTCTGAAAATGATAGCGGGCCTTAATAGAGGCTTATAAAGAAGGCTCTCAAGCGTATTTCTTAAATATAAAATTAAAGCTAAGAAAGTGTCTACATGCAAGACATTATGTTAGTGAATTTTAGGTGAAAATTAATTACACAAAAAATGCCCACTGGAGGAAAAATCCTTTTACAACTACCATTTCAAAACATTTAATACAAGTTATTTTGCATAAGTTTACATAAAATGGTTTGATATTAACATTCTCCTTATATATATTTTTTCTTGTTCTGTAATTAATATAATAATTAGGTTAGTATAAGTATTCTGCCTGACGTGACAGGTGCAGGAGACATGAGATAAGGTTGAAATCCTCACAAGTCACAAATATTAAATGTGTTTGGCATTCGCCATGCCATGCAGCTGCTGTTTGACCATATTAAATAACGAAATGGAAAGAAAGCGGTACAGTTTTCTTCTTGCTAGACGTCAGGAACAGGGCAGAATTGCAGAAATCGCTCCCTAGGAAACACTTGGATATTCAGATAATTAATAACACCAATCGCCATTGAGGAGGCCATAAATTAGCACGAAATTTTAAAAAGGACAGGTGGTTAAAAATTGTGAAGGGTATTGTGATCATTAAATTAAAAAAAAAAATTGAATTGAAGAATACAGGTGGACCCATGTGTCATTTTAAATCTTCTTTATCAATTATAAAATTCGCAAATTACTTCTCTCATTTTTAGTATTGTTTTCATACTCTCAAATCACCTGTAGTTAATTTTTTTGTATGATATTCATTAAGAGAAAAGGAAAAATCATTTAAAACGTTTTCCACATTTCATCAAATAAGTTTTTTCGTCCTTCCCTATTAAAATAGTAAATTTACTTCCATTACAAAATTAAATCGGTAAAATTTGGTTCCAACCTAAATTTTCAACCACTTTTTATCCTGAATCTATCACATAATCTCATATAGTCACTTTTTTAGGAAGAAGGGTAGATTTCTGCCATGCTTGGATTGCTTGTTTCCGTCGGAAAATATTGTCGTTTTCCGTGATCACATTTCCCTATCACCTTTTTCCCTCACATATATTGGATTGCATTTTCCGTCATTTTTCATGGAAAAATTACTGTAGCGATTTGATATATGTGAGGGAAAAAGGTGATAGGGAAATGTGATCACGGAAAACGACAATATTTTCCGACGGAAACAAGCAATCCAAGCATGGCAGAAATCTACCCTTCTTCCTAAAAAAGTGACTATATGAGATTATGTGATAGATTCAGGATAAAAAGTGGTTGAAAATTTAGGTTGGAACCAAATTTTACCGATTTAATTTTGTAATGGAAGTAAATTTACTATTTTAATAGGGAAGGACGAAAAAACTTATTTGATGAAATGTGGAAAACGTTTTAAATGATTTTTCCTTTTCTCTTAATGAATATCATACAAAAAAATTAACTACAGGTGATTTGAGAGTATGAAAACAATACTAAAAATGAGAGAAGTAATTTGCGAATTTTATAATTGATAAAGAAGATTTAAAATGACACATGGGTCCACCTGTATTCTTCAATTCGTTTTTACCATTAAAAGGGTGGAATTTAACATTTTTGTATATAAAAAAAACTGTATGGATCACGTAGTGATTTCAGGCTAAAAAGTGGTCGCAAATTTATATTGGAACCAAATTTTTTAATTTTAATTTGTAAGAGACATAAATTTACTGTTTTAAAAGTAAAGGACCAAAATATTCTTTGACGAAATGTGATTGATATTTTCAATGATTTTTCCTAATAATATATTTTAAAGGTTATTACCGCTACGGCTAGTGTTTTGAAAACAACACTGGATTGGTGCTTGAACCTTGAACTCATCATGATATCGGTCCGGTTGACTAATCAACTCGAAAAGTTATTTAAACCAGCCAGATTCAGTTAAAAACTGGTCGAACATGTTAAAACCGACAGGTAATCAGACTTTTGACCAGGCTAAAAATTTCCGATTACTTGTCGGTTTGGACGTGAGTCCAAGACCTAACAGAAAACTCCAAAAAGGTAACAAAAGTTCTTTGTTGCTTCCAGAAAAATACAAAAATTTTGGTTCTCTATTTCTTGAGTAGGACCAAGTTTTATCAAAGAACCAAGTATTACGTACTGTGTTAAGATTTGTCCATCTCTTAGGGGTCTAAATTTGCAATTTCTGGAAAAAAAATTGCATCCAACTTTTATCATTTTTATAGAAAAGAAACAACAAGTTGACAATTTATCATTAGTTTTGTGCTTTTATTAAGATTGTTTGTATCATTCCTAGAGAACAAAATTTGCATGGTAACGTCATTGTACAAAGTCATATCCTCCGTACCTACACTTCTGGTAAGACATTGCAATCTATGCCTTCTTGCCGTATTCTCAGATAATGCTACATCTTTGCACAAAATAAAAAGAAAAAAAATAGGGAGAAAAAAAGAGTAGGGTCTTATGACTTTCTCCTAGATGGGACTAGATTGCAAAATTGTTTGCACCCTCCAAAATTAATTTTTTTCTCGATAAAATATTACTTGATCTTTATTACTTTATTCTTGAAATATCTCCCTTTGGGAGCATAAACTTCAGATTTACAACGGAAAAAAAAATTGAATTAAGTGAAAGAAAAATGTACCTCTAAGAATAATGTCTTTAGAAGTCTGTCGGAAAATGCAATGATGTTGGCTGTAATGATTTTGAGATTCAAGGATTCAAAAACTTCACAGATCTTCACCATTGTATCCGTTCTTTTACTGCATGTGAGGCTAACTACAATAGTCTTCTCTCCCATGTGAGATACACTAAACTGTAAATTGATTTTTGAAGGGTCCATATATCAATGACCTAAAGACAAATAATAACTCACATATATCTAGAACAAAAAATGAATAAATCGAAAACATGGGATTGTCTTGTAGTTAATTAAAATCTTATGGACCCCATTAATAAAAACAAATGACAGTGGGGGAGAAAGAGAGAGACGGAGAGAGGAATAAAGTCATAAACCAACCTCAAGAACTTCAATGGGAGATGATCTAGACTCTGAAGAATCACAGGTCTGCTCAAATCTTGATCTCTTTGGCTTGGAATTATAGCTTATTTCTTGATCAAAATCTGGAAATATCCTCCTCTTTGACTCCAATTCTGATATTTCAGCTTGAATCATTCTCTCTTGATTATGCAATTCTTGTATGTAGCCTATGGCATCCTTAATAATGGAAGCCTTGTCCATCTGATCAAACATCAATTCATGATTCATTTTTAGTTTATTCCTAGTGGTGGCAATCATTAAAAAAAAAAAAAAAAGCAATTTTGGCAATATATATCATAGGGATCCTGAGTCTTCAGTCCTCACCTTACTGATATTGGGGACTACAGCTCTAAGTGCATGGAGCGTTTCAGTCAGTTTCTTCCTCCTCTTCCTCTCCGACTCGATGTTCTTTGATGCTGCTGATGATTGTGCTCCGTCAGGAGAGCTTGAATCATAAAATGAAAATGATTCATCAAAATTCCTACACAAGACACCGTTTCAACTAATTAATCAATCCGGCTCATCATTCATTGCTAAGTTTTTATTTAAATAAATAATTGCTCGGGAACGATAAAAATCAAAGTCATCAAAATACTATCAAACGTCTAAACAAGAGTTGGGGAAAGTAAGCATGAAAGGATGAGAATGGAACTCTTGTAACCAAAAAATTTACCTTCCTAGTTGTTCAGTTTGGAGGATCATATTTTCCCAATAATCGTTGCATAGAACATCTATGTCATCCATGGTTTCTTCTTTCTTTCTTTCTCGTTTGGCTACAAGGAAGGTTTCTCCTTTCTTTCTCTCTCCTTTGGCTATAAGGAAGAAGAAGAAAGATGGACCTTGGAAGAAAGTGATGAATGATATTGAGATGGTGAAACAAAGCACACCAATGAGGAGAGGTATTTATACAACATACTATTCACCAGTCCATTTCTTCTCAAAGACTTTCAATAACATGACATGTGTGATTTTCTAAGAATTTTAAATTATTTTACTCTTTAATTAATTCAATTAATATTATCTAATACTTCCTCTATCGTACTAAAAGATTATGCTTTTCTTTTGGATCTGTCTCAAAATTAGCGTCACTTATCCAAAGAGGCAATAAAAACTTGGGATAATTACAGAAACCTCCCCTGAAATTTCTGACATTTGCACTGACCTCCCCTCTAGGTTTAGAAATTGCATTCACCTCCCCTGAACAGTAACAATTCGTTGTAGAAACCTCCCTGACAGTTTGATGTCCCATTAAAAAATTATTTGTAGAAGTGAGATAAAATATTTCTTCCAATTTTGCCCTCATCTTGCTTGACAATTATTATTTGCTTGACAATTGCTTAACTAATTATCTAATTAGTTAATAGTTAAGCCAATTAACTATTAACTAATTATCTAATTAACTATTAACTAATTAACTAATTATCTAATTAACTAAAGTTGTTGTCTGTCTGAAACTAACAAACTATTTGTATGTTAAACTAATTAACTGCTTAACTAATTAACTAATTAACTAATTAACTGATTAACAGACTATTTGCATGTTAAACTGTATGCAGTACGCATAACCTATTTAAAGTATCGGCTCTTTATGGGTATTTTACTTTCAAACATTTAATTTATGATAAAAACATCAATGTTTGTAAGTAAAATTCAAAAAGTGTTACAGTAATATTCTTACAAAAAGGGAGGGGCATAGGGCCATAAATTAAATATTTGAAAGTAAGAATATTGATATTTTTTGTAACACTTTTTGAATTTTACTTACAAATATTGATATTTTTATCGTAAATTAAATGTTTGAAAGTAAAATACCCATAAAGAGCTGATACTTTAAATAGGTAATGCGTACTGCATATAGTTTAACATACAAATAATCTGTTAATCAGTTAGTTAGTTAATTAGTTAAGCAGTTAATTAGTTAATTAGTTTAACATGCAAATAGTTTGTTAGTTTCAGACAAACAGCAGTTTTAGTTAATTAGTTAATTAGATAATTAGTAAATTAGATAAATAGAAATTAGTTAATTAGTTAATTAATTAATTAGATAATTAGTTAGTTAATTAGTTAAGCAGTTAATTAGTTAATTAGTTTAACATGCAAATAGTTTATTAGTTTCGGATAGACAACAGCTTTAGTTAATTAGATAATTAAACAATTAGTTAATTAGATAAACAAAAATTAGTTAATTAATTAATTAGATAATTAGTTAGCAGTTAATTAGTTAATTAGTTTAACATGCAAATAGTTTGTTAGTTTCGGACAGACAACAGCTTTAGTTAATTAGATAATTATTTAATTAGTTAATTAGATAAATAGAAATTAGTTAATTAGTTAATTAATTAATAAAATAATTAGTTAATTAGTTAATAGTTAATTAGTTTAACTATGCAGAAATAGTTTGATTAGTTAATAACTATTGACAATTAGATAATTAGTTATTAGTTTAACTATGAAGAAATAGTTTGATTAGTTAATTAGTTAATTAGATAATTAATTAATTAGATAATTAGTTAATTAGATAAAATAAAAAATAGTTAATTAGATAATTAGTTAATTAATTTAACTATGCAGAAATAGTTTGATTAATTTAATTTGTTTAACAAATTAAACGTTAGTTTTGATGAAAGTACTCAAACCTTTCATCTGGTAAAGTCAAATCCAATAGGGGTACTCTAGTAATTTCACACACTTTTACCTTTTTAATTAGTTTCAACTTTTTTTAGGGGAGGTTAATGTAATTTCAAAATTGATAGGGGAGGTCAGTGCAAATGTCAGAAACCTCAGGGAAGGTTTCTGCAATTATCCCTAAAAACTTTCACCCATTTCGATTGATGTCCTTAAATCTAACAACTAAACTCTTGTCTTTTAGTGGCCCAAAGTCCCATTTAATGGCGTGTGAGTGCAGTTAGAAGCAGCAAGATTCGTGCATTACACTTTTTCTAAAATAGCCTGAGAAATGAGGATATTTCATAGGAATGGACCCCACAATCCTGTCACCACTCTATCCTACTTTAAATGGATTAGGCTGCATAGCAAGTTCAAGCACGTCATCCTTGTAACGTAATCCACAATCTTTTGAAATCTAGGCACTGTTAAAAATATATGAAATTCCCAAAGTGTGACAGAAATATTGGGGCGAAAGGCGAAGTTATTAGTTTGTTTAGTTCAAATCTTTAAATCACTATATTCTAAGTTGGTCTAAGTGAATATTTTACTTTAACATTTTCTTTAGATAGAAAAAGAAACTAACTTATCAATAAATCTCTCTAAATAAAATTTACTACTTTATCGTTTTCTTTAGTTGCAAATGACAAATAACCAAAGAGGTGGCGGAAAAGGAGGGGAAAGGAAGGAAGGGGGTGATAGAGAAAGAGGGGGATGGGGGAGGAAAGGGAAATGGAAGAGGAAGAGGAGAGAGGGGTGACAAGAGAAGGGAGAAGAGCTAGTGGGGAAAGAGGGAGGGGAGGTGGAATGGGGGAGGAAGAGAGGGGAGTAGAGAGGGAAAGGGGAGGTGGTAATGGTGGAAGTTAGGGGAAAAGCGGTAGGGGCAGTAGCGGTGGGAGGAGATGATTGTGAGAGAGGGTGATGGTGAAAGAGAAAAAGAATTGCGTGTTTGTTATAGTTTGAGGTGCATTTTTTACATTTTAATGTATAGTTTGGGGTATTTTAATAAGTTATCATAACTAAAGTTATAATAAAACCTTGTCCATTAAGAACATGTAAAAACTGGGGTACTAATCAGAGCATTAAAATGCTGTCAATTTCCTTTAGATTGTTAAATAATTTGGAAAGTATTTAGATTTGTAATTCATCAATTATTTCAATGTTTAAATGTGTTCAAATAATTGGTAAATTATAAACTCAAAATACCTCTCTAATAATCCAAACAATGTAGAGAAATTTTAAAGAAATTTTAAATCCTCCGTTAAATCTCCTGTCCAAACACAACCAAAAGTTAATTTATTAGTCATGCGAATTTTTTCATTTTTTCTTGACTTCTTCCAGAGACAAATTTTGTGACGTAAGTAAAGAATATTGCTAAGGTCACGTTCTTATGGTAGCTCACTTACATCATTGATTGAGGTGTCAAAAGTTCTCCAAGTCGTTAGTTTGTCTTTTTGCAAATTTCGGCAGAAGAAAAACTTTCCACGCGTTTATACACGTAAGCGGCTTTAATTGATGACCAGAAAACGAATGTAAATCTTAGGCAAACATCAGAGAACATACACATGCATCTGCCCAAGATCTAGGGAAGTGCAAATTGTGTTGAAAAGGACAATTGCCTAATATTGAAAATTACTTAAATTACAGGCCAGAACATTTGAGTCTGTAATTTTGCTATTAAAAAAAAGAATAAAAGGAAAAAATATGCTGTTCGGGAGTAGAAGTCTGTTGGATATATTACCCTGATTATTCCGGATAAAGGTGGGGTGAGCTCATTCATTTGGGATTTAATCATTTAGTTCCAGACTTCTTGTCAAGAATGTCCATTACTTCATACAATTATTCTGGGATAATTTCCGCCCAAACCAAGATAATTACATGAAACTCGTAATCTCAATCAAAATTAAAACCAAATGTAATACAGGACTCGAGAAATATTGGATATTTTCATATATTAGGAACAACTAAAATTTTGCCGATGGCTTAGCACGTCTTTCCAAAGCTCTGAAAGGGCATTCTTCCACAAGTCATTAATTTGTCCTGTGCAAATTTCGGCCGAAGAACAACTTTCCACATGTTTGTACGCGTCAGCGACTTTAAGTCTTGGCTGGAAAATTCTTAATCAATGACAAAAGTGTCCAGAATTGATGTGGGTCATACGATTTGACGTGATGGAGGACCTTCGGACAGAATAAATCTGACGGTACAAGGATTCAGTCCTGTATTTTTGGACATATTTCAAATTTTAATATATATTTATTTACATCACTTTTATTTGAATACAATAATGTAAATAATGTAACGTAATTATATACATCAAATAATGCAAAGAGTACAACAATCGACTGAACCTTACTAGACTCCAACTGTATTGGCTCCTCTCTCATAATTGTGGCAGGGAAAATGAAGGGCATGTCAAGTGGGATTTGGGGCAGGACGGTCATCAGTATGACCGTCCCTGCACGGTTAAGGGCCAAGATTGGCCCTCAAAATTTTGTGCGGTTGAAATTACACCATGTAACTCGATTTTCGCGTCAAGTGTGCGGTCCATCACTATCTGTTGTGAAAATACATCCTGTGAAAAAAAAGTTACACGATATACAAAGAAAGTTACGTGCAGTTGATAATGACTAAAATTGACAGGGACGGTTGCAGGTGCCCCGAGTCCGGTCAAGTGCGTCTTTGTAATGCAACAGGTGTACCCAGTACTCTCCTTGTGGGAACCTTTCTATAGAAGATCTAGACAAAAAAATGGAGACTACAGCAATTTCCATCCTGGTAGCAGTACGAAGGTTGGAAAAACACACTTACTGTTAAAGCTGTGGAAATAAATAGACGTGAGAAAGAAAGAAAAAAAAAAAGCAGGGCAAGAAAGATAGGGTGTGCAAAATCAAAAAATTCCGATTTACCGACCGAATTCGAATTGAATTCAGAATTTCGAATTCGGTAATTCGAAATGGAAATCGGAATATCCGATTTCGAATTCACAATTCGAAATTGAAATCAAAATCAGAATTCGGAATTCTATTTCGATTTCAAATCTGTTTTTTCATATATATATATATATATATAATATAATATAACATTTGTATTATAATAATAATTTTTATATTCATGAATTCGGTGAAATCGAAATTCCTATTTCGATTTCAATTTCATTTTCACACATAGATATATAATATAATATTTATATATATGTAATAT